AATTTTTAATTAACAAATTTGTTTGTCATGTCAACAATATTATCAAATTAATTATTTAATAAAAAAATTTTAAAATTGACATTTTTAAATAAAAAAAAATTAAAAGTTAACATATTTATTTAAAAATTAACAATATCAAAATTTTTAAATAAAAAAATATAAAATTAACATATTTATTTATTTATATATTTTATCCTTAACTTAACCAATTCGTCACTTCTAAAACATTATACTATAAAACAAAAATCACTAAATAAGAAAAAAAAACTCTAATATTAAAAAATTTACCCAATTCAATTATTTTTATTATTATTTTTTTAAACATATTTGCAAGGAGCGAGCTTCGAACTCAACCCAAAGGAAGGGAGAATGCACCGGGTGACTATTACCACTAGACCGCAAGGGCCAGGTGCTACCCAATTCAATTATTATTGTTATATAATCCTAAAAAAAAAATTCAGAGTTTACAAGGCACTTTTCCGTGTGTAATTTGAGTTCTCTATTTAGGGACCGACACATCTAATGAACAAAATTGCGCATTACACTACGGCTGATTTTAACCTTTGCGCAGAAACTTCTTTCTCCTTTCTGATTTTGAAAATTTGTTGGAAGTCGCGATTCACGTTACCCCACAACGCGAATTTTTGCAGCGGTCATCATGAATCCAATCACGTGACTGACATGGGCATACACGTTTCTATGTGCTCTAAAAACCCAGCCAAAAGCCCCAACGTATGGGTGGAGGAGTGGGGAGGGGATTCTCATCATCTCATAGCCCAATTATTGTGAGAAAAGGGGAAGAAACTTAACAACAAAAAAAACAGGAGAGCAGCATCAGTGGGGAAAGTGATATTAATGAGGGAAGGGAAACTTTGTAGTAGACGAAAAAAGAAGAGAAGACTTTGTTGACAAAAGAAGTTGCAAATTCTGTCACCTTCGTTCCTTGTTTGAATATAAGTGAAAAACGTGCGTAAATGATTGTAAAAGTAGGTACATTACCCATCTTAGCTTTATCATTACTCATTGAAATTTTTTATGAAGGCAGAAGGTGCAATTCAGCCCCTCTACGTCCATTGTTGTGGCACATCAGCCCCTCTACCTAAAAGTAGAGCAAATCAGCCCCTCCACTTGACAAAACCCGCAAATCAGCCCTTCTGCTGACGATGACCTCATCAAATGTCATCTTTCCGTCCACACCTTTGTTACTCCGTTACCAAGAAATGGCTTGGTGCTGATATGGCATTGAGTAGGTGATGTGGTCAATTTAAACTGCAAAATTACTAAAGAATCCTCATTTACTTGCTTTTCTTCCATTCATCTTCTCTCTCCTCCTTTACATTCTCTTTCTTCATATTGCATATTTACTTTTTTTTTTCAATAGTTTAAATTGAAATTTTCTTCAAATAAATATAAACTTCAAAAAAATATTAAAGTAATCC